CTAGATTGGGAAAGGTCTAGACAAAGATCAAAGTAAACTATAATCAGGGGAATAGTGCCAGCCCCCAAACACCATGCCATCAGTCACAAGGGCATGTGGGTATATGCCAATGGCAGCTTTGCCTGTTAATCGAAGCAGAATAAATGATTCCATGTGGTGAAGGATTTCTAAGCCAAATCAGCAGACATTCTGCCTGCCTGAAGCTGAACTATCTGCCAAACTCTCCAAAAGTACTGGCTGGACACCCAAACTGGAAATGAGAAACTGAAGAATAATGAGAAGGACTGTGGTAGGAGGTGGGGAGGTTAGAGGAAAGACTCATGCAGTCTGAAGCCTGACTGATTGCCCTTTGTCAGTACAATCCCCTTGCTCCCTCATCCTTTCTAAGGAAATGAAAAAGTTTTTACAGAACACTCAGTTTAGACACCAAACCAGAGGCTCTCCAGGTACCATGGACAAAAAAAAGGGTATACACCTCTATGATTTCAATAAGTGCCTGTAAGTTTCCAAGAGGAAGGATTCAGGTTTAGGGTGACTGTTCCTGACTACTCACTCCTATGTTTACCTAGGGACAAAGACCTTCCCTTGGTGTCAACTCAAAGAGATCTGAAGCAGCAGGACAACAGCTGATGTCAGTTCCAGCACATAACCCTGTTAAATCTAGGAATTAAACTAGAAAAGCAACTATATTACTTCATGATGAATTCAGAATCATATGAACTTGTTTCCCCACACCAGGCAGCGTGCCTGCCCCATGGTAGGAGTTCAAAATGTTGAAGAAAAAGGGAAACTGATAGTAAATGTATCATTAGGCACTTATAGCAAAATGAATCTAAAAATCTGTTTCCATAGGAATCTCTAGGTCTGTATAGTGAGGATTTAAGAGTGGGACAAAAATGAGACATATTCTTTCCAAGGAAATGTGAAGCAATAAATTTGGGATAGTACTATCATTTTTAAAGTACTCATTAAGTGTCAGGTGTTATATCTTCTTTAATCCACATCATAACCTTTGAGAAAACTGAAGCTTGGTGAGGTTAAGTCACTTCCATAGAGACATAGCTGGCATGTGACAGAGATTTAATCTGGGATTTAATCCAGACTTGTCTGACTCTAAAGCCTGTGTTTGCTCTTCACTACACTTTCTCAGGGAGGGTGAAAAAGTCATTACTGTCTATAGAGCAACTCCTGCAACCTTTCTCTGTATTACTGCTAAGCTACAAAATTAAAGATAGTCACTTTCAGGTCAGGCAGGATCTAGCCAAGCAGAGAGAGGTGATGTCTCAGAAATTCCAGGCATAAATTCTGTATCCTATACCCCTCACTACATATTCCATGTTGCACTATAAATCTGAAACTCAAACTCAGGAAATTCTGCATTGGTTAAACAAAATCAAAGAAAATCCACACACCCCTTCTCAGAAACCCTAGAAATTAGGTGTCTTTAAGATGAAGATTTCTAATGGAAATAGGGTTTCTGCCTGGCTCATTTCCACAGAATTTACAATGAGAAAGCCAAGGCTGGGATTTATCCTCAGTTCCTGGGGAAGGGCTAGGAAAACAGAGCCAGATAGGCCACAGTTGTGAGGCTCCACACTAAAAAAGACACCAAAGTGAGGTACCCAATAACAGGAAGGTGGTATGGACTCAATGGTATGGGTCCAGATTTAAAAGCACAATTATTCTAAGTGACTTGTAAAGGCACTTACTTGATTCCCCAGCAAATCTGAAGTTGCATTGGAAATTTCAAAGTGAGGATAAGAAAAGAACTAAAAAGCCAAGGTTAAGGAGATGGAGTAAATTACCCGGGGAGCCCAGGAATTGCTGATATCACATTAGAATGATTGAGAGGGTATGAGTGAGAAATGTCTTGATCTGAGATAAAGGATATAATCCCACACAATGGGGACTGGCTCTCAAAGCCAGCGAGATGTTTAGGCATTAAGCTACAGGAGGAATTGCATTTCTGAAGGAGAAAACGTTGGGAAGAAAAGAAGGTTCTTTCCGTAAAAAGAGGTCCCTGAAGAATATAGTAGTAACTCAGTAAGGGGAGGGGTGAGGCTTAACGTGTGTCTGCGTGTGCATCTGTTCATGTGTGTGTAGCCCAGAAGGAAACTCCCCAAAAGGAAATGCATGTGAGGGCTCTGCGCCAGGAAAAGAGATCCAGAGGACTGTGGGAGAAGGCTCCCTTACAGAGGTTGTCCCGCAGGAGGCCAGACCCCGCAGACTCACCTCGGCCATAGCCCTGCGTGTGCTTGGCGAAGCTCCTCACTACGGCCTCCACAGCCTCCCGAAGCACCGCGGGGCTGCCGGTGGCGCCGGGGGGCAGCGGCAGCCCTGGGGCCCCTGACAGGAGCAGGGGCGGCGGGGGTGGTGCGGGTGGCGGCAGGGCCGGCGGGGGCCCCACTGGGGGTGTGGCGGTGGCAGCCGCTGCCCCAGCAACTCCGGGCCGAAGCGCTCGCAGAGTGCCCCTCCCGCTGGTGCCCACTCCAGGCTGCAGCCGCTGCGCTCGCATGGTCTCCATCCTGGCCGCCAGTGAAGTAGCAGTCCGATGCCTGCCAGCCTGGCGAGCTAACGGTCCCAGCCACCGTCGCCTGCTAGCTCAGGGACAGAAGGCGTTGCCGGAGCCCAACTGTCAGTCAAGCGGGGGCGGGGACAAGTAGGACATGCCAATCACCAGAGAAGGGGCGGGAGCTGGCAGGCTCCAGCTCTGCCATACGCAAATTATTGAGGAGGGCGGAGGTTCTGAGCAACCAATTGAGAAGAGAAAAAGCGTTACCCTCTGTGAGGGAGAAAAAGCTTAGCTAGGACCAGTGTTTGGGAGTCCCGTGGGGAGTGCTAGAAAGCGGGCCAGATCCCTGGGGCGAGACTTGGGGGTGGGGAGGAGGAGGTCTAGATCAAAGCTGGGGAAGATTGTAGACAGAGTGAAAGGATTCTTAGAGATCATTTGCATGACTACTTCATTTTATAAATGTAGATGAGGAAGGAAGTGGCGCAGAGAAGTTATGAGATTCTCCAAGATCGCATGCAGTTGGTGGTGGAACCAAAGCAAAGGAAGAAACCGACATTTAATGAGCATATGCCTACTATGTATTAGACACGTGCAGTGTACTTTAGTGCATTGTCTTATTTAGTAATCACAATGACTAACTATATTTTATTATTTTACAGATAAGGAAACTGACACAGACATCTAAACTGCCCCAAATTAAATAACTAGTAGATGGCAAAGCGGGGTGGAGGATTTCATACATAGGTCTTCTGATTCCCAGTATTTTTATCTTTTCATTATACCACATTGTCGGGTAATTTTCTGATTTAATCTATTCTAAATTGGGTGAGGGAGCAAGAAAGAGTAGAATGGGCTGTTCCCTCAGTGACTGTGAACGGGGATGTGGGGGGGACTTGGTGAAGGGGGGAGCCTAGTAAACATAATGTCCTTCATATAATTGTAGATTAATGATACCAAAATTAAAAGAATGGGCTGTTCCCTTACCTCCCATTCAAATGAGGAAGATTTAGAATATATGCAGAAAATCAGCAAACTGAAGTCCAGAGAGAAGATTAAGACAGATACTCTTGTTTATAGAACCTGTCAGACTGGGTTCCTCTGATTACTCTTACACGCATACACATGCACTTCACAGCCTTGTTGGTTGACCATCATGCCATTTTTTACCCAGGTGAGGTTATAGCAACTACTACTCTCTCTTTTTCCAAATTTCTCTACCCACCCTGTAGTGGCTCAGAAATCAAGAATGGGGTGAACAAGAAGTCAGAAATAGAAGGAAATTCATGAAGTGCACCTGGCAACATGAAAGTTAGACACAAACACACACACACACACCCAGGGGGAAAACTGTGATTGATCAATAGGAAACTTGAAAAAAAGGACAGTTAAATCTATTGGGATATATCTGCTGATGGTGGAGGCAGGGACTATGTAGAAATCTTAAGGTAAAGTATTTGAAGGTGGACATAGAGGAGATTGGGGAAATGAAACCCTGCCAAATATGTAAAACCTTCAGGACACAGGACGCTTCCTTTTCTTCTTCAACCACAGTTGGTCACTTGGGCTCCTGGAAATATTCCCTAGATTATTATGGCTATAATTAGCATGATCCTCCCTCCCCATTACTCATTCCCCACATCCCCAGGCAAAAGTGACAAAACAGAGACTTTCAACACATTTATTTGGTAAGTGGAGACAAGAGTGATTTATTGTTACTCCCCACTTCTACCTGTTGGGGTGTTCATAAGCTCAGACAGAAGAGCAGTTTAGAGCCCATGACCCATCCCCTGGAAAATTAGACAACCCATTGTATTGGTTGGGGAAATAAGAGTGGGAATAAAAAGCAGGAAGTTGAGAAGTAAAGCCCAGACCATGAAAGGCAACAGCAAGTGAGGCTGGGGACTGCTACAAGAAACCCCCAAGGAGAGTGAAGAAGATTTCCTAAACAGTGGTTAGGGCTGGTAGCACTGTGTGAACAAGGAGCCAGGCATGTGAGAGTAGCAAGACCTGGAGGGTGTGGGATATTCATAAAGACGTTAGAATGTGCAAAATTATAAGCGGGCTGTGTTGCAGGGCATACATGGGAAGCAAGGGATTGCTTCTGCAAAAGCCCAAAGAGATTGGAGACTATCCCTAAGTAAGGGCTACCTACTGCTTCTGGACAAATGCGAATGAGTTTGGGACCCACTTGGGGCCCTAGCACAAGTGGTCCTGTGTGTGCCTTGCCTGTGGGTACACGAGTAACTCCCCTATGCATACGAAGTGACTAGGACATGAATGCATGTGTCTATATGCCCCGTAAATAGACACTTAACCTTCCGTGCAAGTAAAAGTACTGTGCTTGTGGACACGTTTACCCATGTGTGCATGCGCAGTGTCCATGAACATATGCAAGTCACCCAGTGTCTGTGGTGTGTATGTGAGCTGATTCTCCCACCTGTCCCGTCAAGTTCCTCATCCCCACCCTCCTTGACTCCTTTCACTCCTCTCAGCGCCCTGGCTCCCCTGGCCCGCCTAAACTCTGGAAGCCCCCTAGCAAGCGGATTTGCTCAGTCTGCATGGAGTGGCGCCTCACCAACTTGCGCTTGGTCCTAGGAGAGCCTGGCGCCCCGACTTGGGGAGGAGCGGGCAACGAAGGCGCCCGACATCCTGGCTGAGGACGAATGTCGGGGATGGGAAGGTGGGGGCTGACGTTAAGAGGGGGCAGGAAACCAGGCCGCGTTTGCGCGATGTGGTCCAGGAGCAACGTCCCGGAGCCCCTACGCTCCAGCAGTCCCGGACTACGCCTCCGTCCACTCAGCGGAGACACAGCCCCAGGGAGACTCTCCTGAGACTGGCGCGGGGAGGGAGCCGAACCGGCTGGAGGGAGGGTCAGCGGGGAGGCGCTGTACCGACGGCGCTCCGAGGACAGGCGGCTGCACTCCGGGGAGTCAGGGCAAATATTCCCGGGGCTGTCTAGCTCCACTGGCTCAATACGGCTCAGTTTCTGCCTCAGCCCGGAAGGAGGACAAGCGTCCTGAGCTTCCGGCGCTGTGTTTCGGCGAGAGAGAGGACCCCCACCCGTCACTTTCTCCGCCCACGGGGGCGGGTCCTCTGGGCCTTCAGTGCTGTGACGTCTGGAAAGACGGGGTCGACCGGTCAGGGTCAGGCCGTTGAATTCCACAGCCAGACGCTCGATCCCCGGCCTCCCTTCCGCGGGCGGTACCGGTTGAGGAGGGGCCACTAGGCCCCAGGGCTCAGAGTTGAGCCTTTTGAGTGGTTTTGGAGGGTGACGGGGTGGTTTGGGGAGCGGCTCAGGAGGGGAGGGATCATCAGGGGGCTTAGGAAGAGGGAATTCAAATACGTCCCGCTTCTCTTCTTCTTCCTGGGCGCGAGGGGATAACAACCCTCGTCCTCCTATTCCTGCAGTCTGCAGTTGGATTTCCGAAGGCGACGTGCAGACCCCTGGGCTAGAAGAAGTGGGAGCGGGATCCTCCACCCCTGGGGACGGTGGGGAATTGAGATACTGCCGGGTCTTCTTGGTTCCCGAGGGCGAGGTATCAGTGGTGATGATGATGACCTCCGTGCCCTTGGCCTTACAGGCGTCCAGCAGCGTGGCAAGGGTCTCGCGGTCCCCGCGGTCCAGGGCGTGTACAAGCGCCGAGGCGCCCGCGTGATCTCGGACTGAGGGGTCTGCACCGTGGGCAAGGAGCAGCGAGGCCACGGCGGCGCCCCCACCCCCGGCGCAGGCGTGCATGAGAGCGGTGCGCCCTAGGCGGTCTGCGATGTTGGGGTCCGCGCCTTGCTCCAGAAGGTAGCGTACCATGCGAGCCTTGTTCTGAGGGTCGTCATAGCGGGCTCGACAGGCTGCCATTAGCGCAGTCTCCCCCTGGGCATCACCCTCATTCACGTAGGCGCCCCCCTCGAGAAGCAAACGGGCCAAGCGTAGCTTACCCTGACCCACGGCCCGGAGAAGAGCGTGGCCCTCGGTGTGCAGCATAGTTGCGGCGGGGGCGAGAGCACCGGTGGAGCTGAGACTGGGACTTGCCGAGGATGGCTAGGGGTGTGGGGATGGTGGCTGGCAGAGGCCTGAGGACTCAGTGACGAAGTCAATCCCTGCCAGAAAGAGATCTTATTGACGGATTCAGGCAGGGAAACTGAGGCACCGGTAGAAAGATCTGGCGTGGGATGGCCATCTCCACCGCACTGCACACAGCCCTTCTTCTAACTCGTGCCTCTGAGCCGCCCCTTCCTCCTAGCGCATGCATGCCTGAGGTGGGAAGGATGCACCCGCATTGAAGGACGAGCGCGCGTGCAAATGCCTACGTGCATGCGCGTGGATATTCGCACCCCATCCCCACCCCCAAGGTTTATCAGACCTTTCCAGCATCACCCTTTTCTTATCCGCTCTTGGAATCCCCCTTTCTGTGTAGGGCTGAACGCCACCCACCCACACACATGCACTCATACATTCACACACATATTCCTAATCCTAACATCTTTTAGGTTGCCACAGCCCCATAAATTGAATGGGGGGAGGGAAGCAGCTTGTGTTTGGGACCTAAAACGGGTTGTGGGGTGGAATTGGGGGTTTCTTTTGCCCCTGCTATGTTCCCTATCACTCCTTGCTCTTTCCCCTCCCAGGCTGTGTGCCCAAATAGATACCTGAATGTCCGCAGGATCTCCGCCCGGCCAAGACTGAGGCCAGGGCCGCGGGGCAGCCGGGGTGGCGGAGCCGGGTTCCCCGGGGTCCCCATGGCGGCGGACGGGGGGGCACCCGGATTCCCTTGGTGTCAATATCTGCGCCCGGGCACCGGGTCCTGGTCCCTCCTCCCGGTGCGCCCCGGGCACGGCGCCGGCTCGGGAGGAGGGAAGCTGGGGGGGGGAGGGGGGGGGGGGGGGGGGGGGCGGAGCTCTGCCTTGCTATTTATAGCCTAGTCTCAGCGGGTGGGGGCGTCGGGCACCAAACCGTTCCCCCACCCGTGCAGAAAGAAACGCTCAAAACCTAGAGGCTCCAATCCTGATTTACCACGCTTAGCCGACCTCCCCTCAGCCTCCGAAACCTAAGACTTCCTTAGGAGACTCCTCCACCACCGCGACTGGGACCATCCCAGTTTTCGTTGAGCTTCAGCAGATTCCCATTCTCTGCTCTTGGTGTGTTTATGCAAGCCTTGTGCGCCAGACCTGACCTACCGCACAGGGCACGTGGCACACTGTGCAGAGGGGTGGAGAATGGCGATTGGGATCCACAGCTGGAGTCCATAATGTGTAGACAGAGGCAAGAGATCTGGCTGCTTTCTCCGAGTCTAAATGTCAGGGAGAGCTGGAGTCCGACACAGCAGTACTTCCTCACTCCACCTCCCCCAAAATGGAACACATAGCATAGATAAACTTGGAACTCAGCTCCCCTGTACAGACCTCTTAGATAAGTATGAAGAGAGTGGATATCTGGGGTCATTTTTAGATACAGCAAGGGGCATTTCCAGATGCCTCCTCGCCATATTCTTGGGATAGGGGTAGGGATATAGAAAAGGGGCCATGCGAAGAGCGACCCTTGTAACACACCCTTTTTCATTGCTTCTCTTTACTCTCAGTCTTGCTTAGACTCACTATTTTTCCATCTTGCTTGCCAAATGGCTCAAGTCTTCTCTCTCTGTTTCTGTTGAAATTGGTCGCTCTACTGTCTCTGCCTCGTTTTGCCACGGGCCCTGTCTCCATGGTTACCATAGCTTCCATCTGCATATTTTAGGAATAAGTTTGTGTCCAGCTGGAAGGCATCAGGGGAAGTGGGGGACAAGGAAAAAAATCCTAAGGATTTGGAAAGCTCACATCAGATAATGCAGAGGCTGCCGGCCACCAGACACAAAATGCTAGAAATAGTGTTCTTGGAGAAGGAGGGAGAGAGATATTTGCAGGGACGCTACTCATTTTTTACTAGCTACCATTAATTGGACACCAAATATGTGCCGAGTACTTTACATACATTATCTCCAGTCCTCACAATAAGGTAGGAATTAGCTTTTTGTTATAGATGAAGAAACTGAAACAAGTTTAGCAAGTTCTCCAAAGCCTCAGAGTTCTGTTTATGTCCTATCCCAAAGACTGGGCACTTGCTACAACTTACAGCCTTCCAAGTTCACAGGCTTCACTCTCAGAACCATTGTCTCTGACATCTGGGATATTCTTCATGATTAACTCCTAGATTCTATCTCCACTCTGAACTCTTTATTGTGTTATTGTTTTTTGGTGAAAGTAGGACTCTCCTTCCCATGGTGTCCCACCACCACCACAACCACCAAGGGCTAGGAGCTGGAAGACAGTGGAAAATGCCCCAAACACTGGGCTATTGCTCTGCCTCCCCAACTCTTGTTATCTGAGTTTCCTTCCGCAAAACCTCTTCGTATTTCTCACAGAGATGGCAGCAAGCCAACAGGAGGAGAAAAAATTAGAGTATTCATTGGTGGTGCTGGAGGGAAGCAGTGTAGGATTTGAGGCAAGCTTTGATAATGAAGGCGAGGCTAACCTATGAAGTGAGTCACAGAAAGGCTGATCCCTAACCAGCAGGTCATAGGGGTTCATTTCTCTGCGGGAGTTCCCTCAAAAGAGCCCCTCGGTGAGATCTGAGCGTCATGTTCCCTCTGATAACTCTGGATAGTCTGAGATGAGGTAGGAAATAATCGACCCTGGTTGATTCTGCCGGCCCATCTCTCTCCGTCACTGGCTCTGCAACTCGGCTCGGGAGGACTCCTTCGCTCTTTCTCCTCTGCAGCCTCAAGTGGGCGGGCCTCCCTCCTTGGCTCCTAGATTGGCCAGGAGAATTCACCAATGGGAAGCTCTGGGAGGCGGACCTAGAACGCCACCAGCTAGAGGAGGAAGAGCAAATTTCAAGTTGGCTCCGCGTGGGGGAGGAGCAGCAGGTAAGGCTCCGACCTGGAGGCTCTGACCTTGTTCGGTCCCACACTTCCTGAACTAGTTAATCAGGCTAAGTTGTTAGATAGATAGACAGGCTTCCCGACAGCCTTTTGGATCCAGCCCTTCCTGGTTCCCTACCCTTTCTCCTCTGGGCTTCCATTGCTCTATCGATTGTATGCCAGAGACCCATAGTTTTCTTTCTTGCACAGGAGAAAGGTATTAAAGTAGAAAGTAGGCAAGACTCTCTCTTGTACCTCTAAATTTTGCTATGGCATCAGCTCCCCCCGAATCTGTTAATATTATTCCCCTATGAGACTGGCAAACTCCTGTTATCTATCAAGACTAAGGTGAAATATTTCTTACCAATGGCTTTCCTGGAATACCTTTTTTGCAGGATTTATTCTGCCCCAGCCTGACGATAGCATTTTATGCATACCTGTATTAGAGCACTTAGTGCGCGCTCTCTCTTTAATGTTTCTATTCTTAGAATATAAGATTTTGTAGGGCAGGTCTAATGCTTAATACATAGTACACAATAAAGGTTAATTGAATGGAATTGATTGGGGAGGGAGAATTTAAACTAATAGACTTAGGGAACAATTAATAATAGACAAAATAAAATGCAATAGTTATAATTAAGAGTTATTAAATTAGTGGTTCGTAATATAATTGTTCCCACAGCTCAGAGAAAGGAGAAAGCTAGGAGGAACTGGCATGATGAGGGGAGGCTTTATGAATCACAAAGTCTCAAGTTTGGAAGAGCCCTCAGAAACCATGTTTTCATTCATTCAATATTTATTGAGCATTTATTATATGCTAGACACAATACTAGACAATGGGGATCATAGTGAATCTTCTCCAGAAGAAGACATGCATCCTTCCTCTGTTAAACCATATTTAGTAAATTGTTATCCAGCTTCTATTTAAACATCTTTAATAAGAGAATTCCTTATCTCACTTTGCAGGTTATTCTATTTTGGGCTATTTGTTCTTCAATCAATATCCAACAAATACACTAAACAAATATATAGCACAATGAAATTTATCCCACATTTCCATTGTAAAAGAGAGCTTCCTAGTGGTAGCATTCTTAAGAATAAAGAAAACCACCCCTTTTGTTTTTTATTATACAAGTAATATAGATTCTAGAAAAATTGGAAACACATAAAATTATAAATAAAAATGCCTAGTATTTCATGACCATTATGTAGTGATAACCATAATCATTATTTTATTAAATCTATCCTTTCTATTTCTTTTCTCCATGTATAGATATATATACGTGTGTGTGTGTGTGTGTGTGTGTGTGTGTGTGTATGGTTGACTCTTGAACAACTCAGGTTTGAACTGTGTGGGCCCACCTGTATGTGGGGTTTTTTTCAATAAATTTATTGGAAAATTATTTGGAGATTTGTGACAATTTGAAAATAATTTTTTTCCCGGTTTTATTGTAAGAATACAGTGTATAACATACAAAATATGTGTTAATTGACTGTTTATGTTATTGCTATGGCTTCCAGTCAATGTGGGCTATTAGTAGTTAAGTTTTTGGGGAGTCAAAGGTTATTCCTGGATTTTCCACTCCATTGTAGGGGAGGTGTGAGTGTCCCTATACCCTGCATTGTTCAGGGCTTGACTGTGTGTGTGCCTGTATGTGTGTGTGCATATGTATATATACACAATATGTATGCATATACAAATTGGTCTATACAACAAATACAATTTTATATCATATGTACCCCCACTTGACATTATACTGTGAACATTTTCAGCCTTCAAATACTATTTGAAGTCATTTTTATGTCTATATAATAGTCTAAAATAGATATTTGATTTTTTTAAACCATTTTTTTTTGTTGAAACATTAGTTTATTTCACAATTTTTGATACCTTAGATTGTTCCTTGATGAAAATTCTTGCACTTATATTGTGACTATGTATCAGATGATTTCTTTAGGATAGATTTTTAAAGTAGGATTACTGGATTAAGGACATGAACATTTAAAAGGCTGTTTGACTGCAAAACTGAAGGAACAAAATAGTAGCAGACTCACAAACTCCAAGGGACTAGTGGTTACGAAAGAGGAGAGGTAGGGGAGGGCAGGTGGGGAGAGAGGGAGAAGGGGATTGTGGGGTATCATGATTGGTGCACACGGTGTGTGTGGGGTCATGGAGAAGATAGTATAGCTCAGAGAAGATAAGTAGGGACTCTGTGGCATCTTACTACACTGATGGACAGTGACTACAATGGGGAATTGGGGGGGGACTTGATAATAAGGGTGAATGTAATAACCACATAGTTTTTCTTGTGAAACCTTCATAAGAGTTTATATCAATGATACCTTAATTTTTAAAAAAAGGCTGTTTCAGAGAAGACAAGTAGTGATTCTATAGCATCTTACTATGCTGATGGACAGTGACTGTAATGGGGTATGTGGTGGGGACTTGATAACAGGGGGAGTCTAGTAACTGTAATGTTTCTCATGTAATTAATTGTACATACCAAAATATAAATAAATAAATAAATAAATAAATAAAGGCTGTTGGATTCAAGTGGTCAAATTGCACCCCCAAAAGATTGTGTTTAATAGTCGTTCCAGTGAGTATGAGAGTGACCATCTCAAACAAAATTATGAGAATCTGATTACTTTTTTAAAACTTTGTCAACTTGATAGATAAAAAGTGAAAACCATTCTTAATATTCTTTCTGGGCATTCTTTTTCAATTGCCTTTCATGTCCTTTGCACTATTATTTGTGTGGGATTATTTTTTTTTTCATTTGGATTTTCATGAGTTCTAATACAATAAGAGCGATGTCTCCTTGTTTTCATTATTAAAATGTAGCAAACTAGAGTGCTCCAGGAAGGCCTCAGTCCCTGGATCTTTTTTTCTCTCCATTCACATTCATTCCTTTAGGGACCTCACCCAGTCTCATGGCTTGGAATATATGTATACTGATAACACCACCAGAAGGTAAGCTCCATTTAAACTCCATGGATGCAGCAGTTTTTTGTCCATTTTGCTCAGTGCTGTATCCTTAGCACTTGGAACAGTGCCTGGCACATGGTAAGCACTCAGTAAATAGTTGTTGAATGAATTAAGATGCTTTTATTATTATTCCCATTTCACAGATGAGTAAACAGGCTTAGAAATACTAAATAAACTGCTGGAGTTTGTGTAGCTAGGAAATAACAGAACTGGGGTTCAAATTCATGTTCTCAACCATTACATGTACTGCCTTTCTTAAATTTGATAAAACATTTTTTGTATGTTTTGTTGAAACCTTCTTCTTAGTAACTTTTACCACAATACACAGTTATGCATGATTGAGAATAAGTACAGTGTATATGAGATGTTGTTTTGGGAGAAGCAGAGTACAGGAGTGGACATGGGAAGGTTGGTGTTAAGGAGGAACAGTCTGGGTCCAGATTATGGGAGACCTTAAATATCTTCAAGAATTTAGACTCCATCACAATCTTAAGTAGAAGAGGCTCATTGTAGATTTCTGAACTGAGTCGGGTAGTGAGGAATGGTTTACCATTCCTAACCACCAGTTTATTACCTTAATTAAATAAAATTTTGTCTTCTTTTTACTTTGGGGGTCATTGGTTAGTATATGGAAATGGAGTTAAATTTGTCCAACCTCAAAGCACACAGTCTTTCCTTGACTCCTCAAAACAGCTCCCTTCTCCACTGCTAGAACTGTCTCTCTCAAGTGGAAAGATACCTAAGCCAGCTGGTTAGAGTGTCCTTTCCCTTTGTAAGGGCCTAAAGACATGGTGACAAATTCTTACTTCTTCTCAAGTGTCCATGAGACATCCTCTCTCCTTTAATATGTCCTTTCAGTTGCATCACAGTTTAGTCTATTAACTAAGAGCCATTTTCCTCACATTTTTTTGTTGGACTTAAAACTTTACAAATTCCTCAGACAGACATTTTTCTACCCTCCCTTCCTACTACATATTCTTAATTGCATCTACTATTCAGTTACTATATTTAAAATTTTTAATTGATATTTTTCTCTTATTATAAAAGCAGTACCTCAACAATACAGAAAAAATACACAAAACCAAAACAAAACAAAAAAACCAATCGCATCACCTCACACTAACCAACATTAATTTTTGGTGTATATCCTTCAAGAACATGTTTTTATTTATGTGTGTGTATGTTTGAGCAGATTACCTTATACATATTCTTAAATGTTTTTCTTACCAACTAATTTATTGTGGAATGCATGTTGTTGAGCCATATACTTCTTGTTGAGAGTACTTGTTGGATATTGATTGAAGAACAAATATCCAAAAATGGAATTATCTGTAAAGTGAGGTAAGGAGTTCTCTTACTAAAGATGTTTAAATAGAAGCTGGATAGCAATTTGCTAAATATGGTTTAACAAAGGAAGAATGTATGTCTTCTTCTAGAGAAGAAGATTCACTATGATCCCCATTGTCTAGCATTGTGTCTAGCATATAATAGATGCTCAATAAATATTTGTTGAATGAATGAATGAAAACATGGTTTCTAAGGGCTCTTCCAAACTTGAGACTTTGTGATTCATAAAGCCTCCCCTCAGCATGCCAGTTCCTCCTAGCTTTCTCCCTTCTCTGAGTTGTGTTAACAATTATATTTTGAGCTACTAATTTAAGAGATCTTAATCATATATTGTGTTGTCTCTTATTGCTCCCTAGCTAACAGATTGTTAGTGTGTACGCTTAATATAATGATAAAAATGTCACTTTACTTCTGTGATCCTTCTTCCCCAAACCTATAACCCCAATCTAATCAGGTGAAAACATCAAATCCCAACAGAGGAGCATTCTGTAATGTATTTGACTGGTACTCTTTAAATTGTCAAGGTCATAAAAAATAAGGAAGATCTGAGAAAATTAAATTTGAATTGCTTCTCAAGTTTGTTTTTTATTAGTTTTTAAAAACAGTTTTAGATTTACAGAAAAACTGAGCAGATTGTACCGGAAGTTTCCATATGTCTGGGCACACAGTTTTCCCTGTTGTCAACATCATATCTTAGTATGGTATATTTGTTGCAAATAATGAATCAATATTGATACATTATAATTATTTAAGGTCCATATTTGATTCACATTTCCTCAGTTTTACTTCATGTTCTTTTTCTGTTTCAGGATCCCATCCGGGATACTGGATGTCACGGCTCTGTTATGTGTATGTGCATGTGTGTATATGTATGTATATGCAGAAATGAAATCAAAAGGATACATTTAAAATATTAATGATCATCACTACATTGCAGTTATGAAAAAATAGGTATTTCTTTATACCTTTCTTACACCTTCTGTGTTTCCAACTTTTCCAGAATACATGCATATTACTGCTATAATCAGAAAACAAACGGAAAGGTTTTCTTTATTTTTAAGAATGCTGCCACTAGGGCAGCTCTCCCTTTTACAATGAAAATATGGACCTTCCTTGTTTTTGATGACCTTGACAGTTTCAAAGAGTATTGGCCAGGTATATTATAGGAATCTCCTCTGTTGGAATTTGTCTGATGTTTTTCTACTGTTTAGACTGGGGTTGTAGGTTTATGGGAAGAGGATCACAGAGATAAAGGCCCAGTTTAGTTTTATCACATGATATTAAGGGTACATACTAAGAAAATAATTTAAAAAATTTTTTCCTGATGCTGATTTTTTTTTAATTGAAGTATCATTGTTGTTGATACACAATCGTATATTGGTTTCAAGTATACAACACAGTGGTTCAACAGTTACCCATATTATTAAATCCTCACCCCTACTAGTGCAGTTACTATCTGTCAAGATGGAACAATGATACAGAATGACTTTATTCTTCATGCTGTACTACTGTCCCTGTGATCAACTTATATTATGATTGAGAACTTTTGTGCCCCTTTATGCCCCTCACCCTCCCCACCCATAATTTAATATTGTTGATGTTGATCTTGGTCATCTGAGTGAAGCAGTGTTTGTCCAGTATCTCCACTTTAAAATTACTTCCCTCCTTTCCAAAATTGTATTGGACAAAATTCTCTAAGAGTGCCTGTTCTTTAGGGTCGAATACATAATTTATTTGGGATTCAGTATGAGAGATTTGTCTTTTTTCCCCATGTATTAATTTATTCAGTAATTTATTTATATCAGTATGAATTCATGGATATTTATTTTCTACTTGGGAGTTATAATCCAATACTACTTTTTTATTGCCAAAATTGTTCCAGTTTCAGTCATTGGGAGCTCCTTTAGTTGACTTTTATGCCCCTATGACATACCCCCTCAATGTGTGTGTGTGTTTGTTTTGAGTACTTCCTTGCTTTCTGGCACTACAAGGTTCTTTAGGCTCATCTTGTATATTTCCAGCCCCAGTCCTAGAATCAGCCATTTCTCCAAGAAGCCCTGATTCCTTTAATTGGAAAATGTTATTAGAAACCAAGATGTACTCCTTGCTACTGGGGTGTCAGTTCTTTCAACTTTCATTTTCATTTGGTGACTTCATCTCCCATCCTGTCTGCCTCTGACTGGCCCCTCCAGACTGACGACAAGAGGTCATTAGCAGGAGGAACTTCTGATTCATCAGAGTTGATGAATTGGCTGTCTTGGGGAAGAATGGACACCCTCTCTTTAGGAAAATGCTGCCAGAAGTTGAATGACTAACAACTTAGTGGAGTCCTGCATTTAGTGGGTTTGGACTAGTTTCTATGGGTCCTTCCACTTTTAAAATTCTCTGCTTCCAAGTGGTGTTTAAAAAGATCAATTTGACTGTAATGATTCTCTCCACCCTACCCTGCCACTGGCAGTGAGACTGCTGACTTATCTCTGTGCCTCCACAATGCTTGGCACACTACCTTTTTTATGGTAGATGTTTAATAAATATTTTGCTGAAATGTATTGCACTGGATTGAATTGGGGCCTGGATGTGTTTGGAAAGCCAGTGAGAAAAAGAATTCAAAGGTCATATGTAGATATACTGATGGTGATAAACATCAAAATTAACTTAGGGATGTAGGGAAGTTTTATCCACAGATCTAATCACTTTCCCCTTTGTGCTACAGTTTCAATTAATTGCAGTTATCTGTTCTGCTGGGACCATATCTCATCCATATTTATAATTCCAGAAATACCCTGCCTGACACTATGACTTCTCAGTCAAAATTTGTTGAATTACGCTGACTTTTCAGGTCCCAAGTAGAAGAGATTGAGTGTCTTGTACTTACCTGCCCTCCCATCCATTCTACTGTACCTTTGCTCTTTGTTTTTATCTTTATCAGGTTTTTCCCTTGGATCTCTGAATACCCAGGCCCCCTCCACCATGGCCAGCTGGGGTGGGGGCCGGGGTCGTGGCCGGGGCCAGTTGACCTTCAACATGGAGGCTGTGGGCATTGGGAAGGGGGATACTCTTCCTCCACCCACCCTGCAGCCTTCTCCACTCTTCCCTGTAAGTGTCTGCCCTCCCTTCCCAAGACTCCTGTGTGCCTCTGTCTGACTGTATATGATCCTGGATTTCTCCTAGGCCATCATAAAACCATCTTCGTCTTGCCCCTCTGCCTCTATACTCCCAACTCAAATGGGATGTTTTCCAGGCAAGGAAGTGTGTGCCCTTACCTCTCGTACTCCCAGCTCCCTGACTTTTAAAGTTATTGGTGATCCACCAATTTTCTTTTGGCTCTTGGCTCCAATGGGAGCCACTGAATTGAACTGGGGGAAGGCCCTCCCATATTTGTACTCCAGCATTTTCTCCCTGAACTAACCACTGCCCATGCCTCCTTAGCCCTTGGAGTTCCACCCAGTGCCTCTGCCCTCAGGAGAGGAAGGGGAATATGTCCTGGCACTGAAGCAGGAGCTACGAGGGGCCATGAGACAGCTCCCCTACTTCATTCGGCCAGCTATCCCCAAGAGAGGTCAGTTGGGATGTTAGCATCATATTCTGAGTGCCTTTCATGAGTAGCACTCTGTACTCAGCACCACTGGGGGCTAGAGAGGCCAGGAGAGGCACAGGAAGCTCACTGTCTAGCTGGGGAAATCATAATAATTACCCATGCATTTGAAATACATTATAGTATCCATGGTTTTTGTTTTTTGGGGGTTATTTTTGACATTCACAACAGTCTTGGGACAGTAGGAGGTCAAGTACTAAGATGCCCATTTCACAGGTATAAGTGGGGAGACCTATTAAAATTTTTGACAATTTGGATATTATAGACACCAACCTCAGAGGGCAGGCTTATGCTGGGTCTCTGAAAAGCCCTGCTAAATGAACTATTACCCCTGTGGTTAGTGGATTGTGAGATCAGGAAGGATGGAGAAGGGGGTACACTTGGGAAGCTTGGGATAGTGGATATTTACCCACTGATATGAAAGGATGGAATTTCAGTATATTGACATACAGTGCTTTCGTGGAAGCCTTAGAAGCTGAAGCTCAGAGAAATTAAGACTTGCCTAAGTGAGCACCATTAGCAAGGGGTAAAGGGAAGAAAGAGACCCTGTTTTTTTGCTCTCTACTGTACTTTCCACTGTACATCTCAATATAGCCATGCCTTTGGGTTAAGGGAGGTAACAAAAACATTGTAGTTTTGGGTGGCAAAGGTACAGGTTAGAAGAGTGTGGAAGGTCCTCAATTAAGCTGACACCCTGCACTCCATGAGTTTGGGGTGAGGGAATAGACAATTTCTGAGTATTGAGAGGGCTGGACCCTCAGGAACAACCCTGTTCTAGAGCTCTGAAAAGATATAACTTTGACCCTTGACCTCTAACCCCTCAGATGTAGAGCGTTACTCAGACAAATATCAAATGTCAGGGCCGATTGACAGTGCCATCGACTGGAACCCTGGTAAGTGATGGACCCTTTCATTGACTGCCCTTCTTTCAAATATTTGAGAAATCTCAAGCCACAAGCCACCACCTAATCCACCCTCCTCTGTCCCTTCTCCTATTCTGGAGCCTTAGATGTGCTCTCAAACACTCTTAGACTCTACCTGAAAACCTGTTAAATAGCCCCACTGCTCAGGAGACATCTGGGCCACAGTTTTTTTCCAAGTAACTTTTACCCAACTCCTTTCTTCATGACCCTTACCACAACCCTTACCTTTCCTTTGAAATCGGTCATCAGTTATAGGAGGCTCCAAGCAGGGTCTTACTGACTTTTATGTTCCCACTATTCCCAGATTGGCGACGTTTACCCCGGGAGCTAAAGATCCGAGTGCGGAAGCTACAAAAGGAGCGTGAGTATCTGGAAGAAGGAGAGAGAAGAGAGATGTCCTTCATCAGCTGGAGGGTCAAGGCTGCTGGTGGAGGCCCCCCCATCCCCTCCGAATTCCTATCCATTCCATCCAGTATTGTTGCTGGATGTCACGGTGGCCACATGAGGGCGGCACAGTGACATGGTCTCTGCAGGAGGGTGGGTAGAAAGTTAACAACGAAGTTTGCTCTCTGATGGTGCACCTTATCTCGTATCCAGGGACCACCATTTTGCTCCCCAAAAGGCCTCCTAAGACCACAGAAGATAAGGAAGAAACAATACAGAAACTAGAGGTAAGGAGGATATATGCACAGAGACCACCGCAGTCCCAGATCCATTCCCTCCCCTTTGGCCTATGTGTGCCTCCATTTTTCCCTTCTGTGAGCTATTCATCTTCACATAAGACCCTGGAAAAGAAGGAGGAAGAAGTGAGTTCAGAGGAAGATGAGGAGAAAGAAGAAGAAGAAGAGAAGGGAGAGGAAGAAGAGGAAGAGTATGATGAAGAAGAACATGAAGAGGTGAGGAGGACCTCCTTCCACCCTCAGCCCTCCTCTCTTCCTCTCATGAGCTCTGGGCATCTTGACTCTGTGCACCAGGAGTATGCGCTTCAGAGGGTTGGAGGGCCAAAGGAGATAGTGTCTCCAAAGGATAGTGCCCCCCACTTTGTCCTGGGCCCCTCTCAAGAATGAATTACAGCTGGAAGGGGCTTCTAAACCTTGGATTGGGAGGGAAGGGGCCTGATACATAGGGACAAAGGAGAATGCTGAAAGCATGCCTAACTTTGTTTTTTTCTTTTCTCTATTTCAGGAAACTGACTACATCATGTCATATTTTGACAATGGAGAGGACTTTGGGGGTGACAGTGATGACAATATGGATGAGGCTATATATTGAGGAATGACCCTAAACAATACCCAGACCTTCAGGTCTTTCTTGATTTAGGATACAGAGTAACTGTCCCTATTCTTTGGTTTTGTGGACAAGCAAATCATTTGCTCAGAGGCCAGCTAACCTGTTTGGTCCTTGGAGACAGTAATGGAAGATGATAAGCTTTTCTACCCTTCCCTTTTCTCTACCCTGTATCAACTCCGATATGTTGGGAAAAGGGCAAAGAACTGCTATCTTAATTGTATAAAAGGGAGGAAGGGTCAGAAGAAGAACTGGAGTTGTTCGAGCTGGAACAGCTGTACACATGTCCCTGCCCATTTATTATAGTTCTTTGTGGAGATAACTGGGGTAGGAGCAGTTAGGAAGGGTGAGGCCAGTTTTATATTTTTAAATAAAATGTTTTTATCTGTCTCTGTATCCAAGGTGAGGCCTGGTGGGAGAGAAATGGAGGAATGAAGGGGATGCCTAACTAAACCATTCTTCTCTCCTTGACTGCCAGTCTAGCGTGACCCCTGGGGGTTACAGCCTTCCTGTCTTTTGCCCTTTCCCTCCCAACCCCACAGTGGGACACATGGTCTCATTCTAGACCTGCCATGGAACATTCAGCAAATCATCTGCAGAGCAGCCCACTCCCAGAAGACCAGCTGGCTCTGAGCCTCTGGTCCTCAAGCCACAGGGACACGATTGTCCCTGATCATATGTGTTCACAGGGACACAGGCCCTCTCTTTCCCACACTTGACCTTGATCTTGTCCTTGTTTACAAGGAATGATTACAGCTATTTCTGTGGGAGAGTCAAGAAAGCCAGGTGCAGAGGGTATAGAGAGGAGGTGCTGATTATTATTCTGTGCACTCACCCTCTTCCAAGCCCTGGAGACCCCACTTGTAAAGTATGTCTGTGCAGAGGAAGCCTCCTAAACATCCTCTTCACTACCAGACGCTGTGTGGCTGAGTTGCTGAGTTGCAGTTTCTTTTCTGGTTCTTCCTTTGTGGAATTTAGCCTTTCTCACTTCCTTCTTGGGGGGAGGGAGATGGGGTTTTGCATTACAGGAAGTAAGAAGGGTGGAGAGGAGGGGAGTGACTTAGGGATACTCACAGCTCTGAGGGATGCTTCCTCACCCACACAGCTCTCCCTTTAGTGAGTCACTTCCCTGGGCTCTGATTGGCTTCTGAGGAAGCTCTGGATGAACTGACTGGTTGCAGCCACTTGACATGCAACAGTCACGGGCTAGCTGTGTGTCCAAAATAGGGACTGAATAAGAAGGCCGATGCAGATAGCTAGGATACTGTCTTAACAACCCTACTAAACATTTGAAAACCATAAAAATGGGATACAGAAGAACCTTTGAGAAATTCCACAATCCTATTTGGGCAGGCAGACTGAATTCCTTACAACATCAACTGATAGATAAAGACCAGCAATCTAATGTTAGCCATTTCTTACCCTACTGTAAAGAATGAATAGGGGCTGTTACTCCATTGAGGGAAAGCACCTTGAAAGCCTGGTTTGGGTGTGTGTGGTAGTGGGTGTTAGGTAGAAGCAGCCGAAAGAACAGAGAAGGAAGCTGGAATCGAAACAGAACGTTCCAGTTCCAGAGTTGTTGAGCAATTTGTGATGATTGGTGTTTCCTTTTGTAGCTCTGAGGTATGGTGTGGGTGGAGTGGGGGAGGGGCCGGGGGACCTATCGCTGGGGTTTCCCATAGTCACACTTTAGCTTGTGATTGTGGCTAGGGAGAAACCAGCAAGAAACAAATGTAAAAGACACTGAAAATCTTTTACCATCCTTCCCTACACATACCCACCAGTCCTAATGTGGTCAACTATATCTGTGTCTATGTTGGGGGCATAGCCAACTGCATAAATCTCAACTAATGCTAGCCTGAGAACTTTTAAAAGAGTGCAGAATAAGGAGATTCTAAGCAAGAGACAGTAGACAAGGATTAGGACACATCCCTGCCTCCACTTCTATATGCACACATCTTTTTCCATGAAATGGTAGAAAGGACAAAGGAAGGTGGGAGAGACCATTTGGGATCGGTTGTACTGCCTCAAAGTCCAAGTATCAGAAAGATAAGACCATTCTTGGACTCTTTCCTGTCTGGCTCTCCGCCTCCCTTGGCAGGTGACCTTGCTGAACAAAGCCAGAGACATGGGATCCAGCAGCTTCCTCAGATTCCAGAACAGCTCCAAGCATGAGCTAGACTGTTCTCATTGACCTCTCCCCCACTTTCCATAGGTCATATTAGGCAGGCTGAGGCTGAAGCCTAATATGTCCAGTGAACAGGGCTACTATTTCTCTGGAGGACCTCCTGAGCAGTTAGAGGTTAGGGCCTTGCTTGCAAGCATTTAAAGAGGACCCATGTAGTGTTTGTTCAGCCCTGTGCTGTCTGCCTGCTGGGGCCTGCTTATGTTGAAAACATACTACTCCCACGCCCACAGGCTGGGCTGCCCTGGCCCCAGCAGGGTAGGTTCTCTGGCAAGAATCCTATCCTATTGCTACCCAATCCCTAGCCTCCTAGTTCTCTCTCACCTTGGGCAAGAAGCTTGAAAGTGGGGTCTGCAAACCTTAGCACAGGAATTTAACTGTTTTGAGGCAGGGCTGAATGGGAGACATGGATGCAACATGTAGTTTAGAAAACAGATTGGAGACCAAAGAAAATTAGGGGGTCAGATATTATGAAAAGACAATTATTTTCCTCAATTCATTTTTGTTGTTTGAAAGGAAAAAAGCGCGGTTTGTAGGAGTAAGCTGGTTGAAAACAAGGGGAAGAGGGAAAGAGCTGCTATCTCCACTGAGCAAAGCACTAGTTCACAGTGCTAATTTCACCACTCCATAGCTTTGTGCCGTTGGGGAAGTCATGTCAAGTTTCCAAGCCTCAATTTCCTCATGTACGAAACAGAATTTGGATTAGGTGTCCATTAGGAATCCTTTGAGCTGATGTTGATCCTCCTGTGTGTTTCCAAAAGGTTCTGAGATCAAAGGTCAGGGCATGTCCAGCTTTTGCTGAATTCATTCCATCCACTGGACTTTCCCACCTATTTGCAGCTTGAGCAAACTAAAGATACCACAGGCATACAGCCAATCCTTTCCAAGAAACTGCTTCAGCCCAAGTGGCAGGCAAATCAGCAATTCCATCAGCTAGCAAGGAAGGAGACAAGCCCTGAATCAGAGTTCAAGGTCACAGTCTGCAAGCCAGGACTCTAATTAAAAAAAGGCACCAAGAAATTTCTGACTGAGGAAGGGGCCAGTGGGGCATAGCCTCTTCTCTTATATCATTTCTGGCCAGAGGACAGAGAAGAGAAATGAGCTAGACAAGAATAGCTTAGCTAATCTGACTAGACCAGTGTTGATCCTTTTCCATTGACCTTTCCCCTACTGAGCTCACTCTCCCAGCAAAATCATTTGGGACCTGAAAGCTGGAAATAAGTTTTAGTTTCCTAGTATCACCTCAAAAAGGCCTTTGCCTTAACCCCCACAGAACTTAATTTGTCATTTTGTATCCTGGAGGGAAGGGAGGTCCCTCCTGCCACCCTAATGGGAGTCAGTGGAAAATTGATAATCCAACCCTAACTGCAGGACCTGAGAAGTTAAGTGCAATCACCGTGGGAGCCCAGAACTTTGGGGGAAGGAATCCAGGGATTCCTCAGACCCAGTTCTGACCAATGCAGGGAGCAACTGTCCCTAGGACCTTTGAGTCTGAGACTCTTCTTCATTCTCAAACTCCTCTCCTCCCAGGATCTTCACTTGTGGGCTGGGCTTTCCAAAATTTGGACCCCTGCCTCTCCGAATCATCTGCATCTTGTGATTTTCTTTTGGTATACAATAGACAAAGGAGGGAATATCCAAATCCTGTCTCTAACATTCTTTGTCATACTCCAGGCAGCACTGATGGTACTACAACAGGAGGGAGATTAGTTAGACCTGTCTTTGCCTTACCAAAAGGAGCAGAGAGAACAAACTCATGTTAAGTTGGGGACAGAGATCTGAAGTACTTCCTATCTTGGAGAGAATATATTAAATCCCATTTTTGCAGTGAAATAAGTAAGCCCTGGTACTCATCTTCCCTATGTTCTGCTATGGCCATAGATGTAGTCATTCTGGAGAGGAAATTCCCTCATCTAAGGAGGCAAGGTAACTCTTTTACCTAATTTTTCTCAGGTAGGGTAGTAAAAGGAAGTGAAACAAAGATGGGCACAGTGGGAGAAAAGGCAAATGCTGACCAGCCCTTTTCTTAGCCTTCTGCTTCCTGTTTCCAGCCCTCTCTCCTGGCCCCTGCACAATCTTTCCTGTCTGACCATACTTAGCTGCTCTTGGCCCCTCAACTCTCCCTTACTTGGTCTAGCTTCTGTTTTGAGACTTGCTTTTCACCCCGAGCCACCACACTAACACCTGTCCACAGATACCAGAGATGGCTACAAACTTCTCAGAAGATGGACTGGGCCAGGTCAGGATGGTCTTAGAACCAAAAAAAGAGCTTATCACTCAGGCTCATTCTTACTTTCATATTCTTTTCCTCTTCTTGACTCTCTCTCCATGTCTGTCTTTTAGTGTCTCTCTTTGCCTCATGTCTTTAGCATTGTGCTACTTAAATAGGGTTATTCATGGGTGATGTGGTGAATAATATTTGGAGCCAGAGAATATACACAGAACACCTTCAAAGTGCCCATTTTACTTTTATGATTTGGTGGGAGAAGATAAGCTATATTTATACTAAAAGTACACAAATAGATTATGCAGTACAAATCAAAATTTGTACTTTTTAAACATAAAGTAGGTATTTCAAAAACATTTCTGACTCGTGACAGTCTACTTTGGACTGCTCCAGAAGCCCTGGGGAAAAATATTTGCTCTTCCTCATCTTAGGGGTCCTTCAGAGGAAATATGAAAAGCTCTACTTAGAGCAGAGGTACCAACCTACGACAAATTTGAATGCCTGACAGAATCAGGCAGGTATAAAGGAGTGAAGCGGGTGAGTGTAATTTAATAGAGAGTAGTGAGAGTTGGCAAATAAGAGCCTGCTTGTTCCCATTAGCTCCAAAAGGTTGATGCCATGAAGGAATGTGTGCTCAGTGTTACCAAATATAATTGCTGTTTAAGAGAAGGCAGGACAGTAATTTTGGTGAACTCTAGTTTTTAAATGTTTGCAACTAATTCAAATTTTTAGGAAGAAACCGTACAGATCTTTAATCGTCAGCAAGCTGATTCTGCCTTTGCGCCTCCCATTTGTTGCCTCTGACCTCCACCAACATTTCTTCTACTTTCCAAAGATGTATAAGGCTCAGATATGGGCTTTCAAGGTCTCACATTCTGTTCCCAGTACTTGGGGACAGTACGGTGCATGAGTTGCAGGAGAGCTTGAGCTCTCCTGCAGGGGAGCTTAGGGAGGCAGAACTGACAAGAAGCCTTTAGGTACCACTGGCAAGCTACACTTTTCTCCAGGAGAAGTAAAGGAACCAGTGTTCACTACCCAGCTACACTTTCCCTGATCTAGAGGGATATGGAGATAAAGACATCTTGGGGTCTGGAATGGAAACCGAAGTTTCCTCAGAGTTGGAAACAAGTATAAAAGAGACAAGTATGAAAGACCAGGAATGGAGAGAAATCAGGTAACAGGACAAAAGAAGGATTAGCTGTGAGTCTGGACAGATGAAGGAGGAAGTGAGAATTTAGACAGGTGAAATGGAGGGAGAAGGGTCTTTAGCCACAGAACCATATAAGGGAAACACAGTTCTCACGCCCCTGAATACCATCTCCCCTGCCAGCGACTGAAATCCTTCCTCTGTCCATGTGTCCAGAAGGTTAAAAATATCCAAGTTGGGCACCCAGTCAGACATTTCCAAGAACCTGTTTACCAACCATTTAATTGACTTGGAGAGGTAGTCAGCAGCTCCATCACCCAAAAAGGAATGAGAATGGATCTTGTTTGACATCCCAGGACTCAAGGCATGTGAGATTCACAATCAAGTCCCCAAGTTCTCCCTGTACTCCTCCTCTTCCCATCACTCCATTGCCTAGAGATGACCAATCAATTGGTAGTCAAAAAAACCTCAATCTTCAGAGTCTGTTCATTCTTTTTTTTCCTTACATAACAGGCCTAAGATGGAATATAGCAGGCTAAGCCAAGGGAAAGCTCAGGACAGGACAGGAATAGCCTAAGAAGGCTAAACTGGGCCTCAACAGGGAGCTTGCCTCCACTGGCTTTTATGCTGCTCAGTCTAGTCTATCTCAGGGGAAAAAAAGCAAAAGAGATTCAATACCTTTGAAAACAGTCTGAGAATTCTTTGTCCCACTGTATAACCAGCACTCTGTTCCTCAGCTTGTCATTCCAAATGGTAGGCAGCTTTCCCCTGGAGTTGTATACTGAAAAATTAAGAAAACTCAATTAATTTTAAGGTGATAGAGTTAATCCAGAGGCCTGTGAGGCACACTGGTAATAAGAGAGAAAACTCTAGTGCTCCCAGGGCTATACCATGAAATACTGGGGGTATGCAGAGGGTGCATCTTAGCCTGGGGATCAGAGTGCCAATAGTAGGCTACCTTTCTCTGCCACAATTAACTCCAAGCTGAGTCAGTTTCTGTATATTGACCTCTTCTCAGACTGTTTTGTTCCACTAACACAGGAAAGAAATCAATCAGAGAGGAAGAACAATTTTGGGGACATGTCTGGGAGTGAACCAGTCAAGTGTAGGTACGCTTCCTTTTTTTATTTTAGATAACAAGCACTTACTTGCTATTGTTCTAACAGTTCACATATATTTTTAAAAGTCCTCACAACATACATACAAAGGAATGAAACTGGATCACTGTCTTATACCATAACCCAAAATTAATTCTGAATAGATTAAAGACCTAAGTATAAGACCTGAAACTATAAAACTCTTAGAAGAAATCATAAGTAATAAACTCTTGAACATCAGCATTGGTAGTTTTTTTTTCTAGATATGTCTTCCCAGGCAAGAGAAACAAAAAAAAAAAAAAAAAAAAAAAATGGGGTTACATCAAACTAAAGAGCTTCTGCCCAGCAAAGGAAACCATCAACAAAACGAAAAGGCAACCTACTGGATGGGAGAATGTATTTGCAAATGATATATCTGACAAGAAGTTGATATAAAAAATAAAGAACTCACACAACTCAACACCAAATAATAACAATAATCTGATTCTTAAAAATGGGCAGAAGACGAATAGACATTTTTCTTTCCCTTTTTTGGGAGGGGCGGGCACTAAATTTCTTTATTTGAAGGAATGGTACAAATGAAAGGACTTAAGCACATGTTTTGGTACAACTTGTAGGAAAGGTCAAAGTAATCCCAACATGCATGCACTACGATAGAGGCCAGAGAAGTCACCCTCGTGGCTCTGGGAAGCTAGCCTAAGGCTTAGCTCTGATTATCACTGTCTTCCAGGGTGTGCTTAGCAAAGAGATACTCTGCCATACCAGGTTCCAGAGTCTTCACCTGTACAAGTAGGCTGCGTGGTCACCCAAGTCTTTGATGGATTTCACCTGCTCATTCAGGTAATGAGCCTCAGTGAAGTCACTCAAATGAGGGTCATTTTTGTCATCGACCAGTTTGTGCAGTGCCAGGAGTGACTGATTCATGCTTTTTTCCAAGTGTAATGCACACTCCATTGTGTTCAGCCCATTCTCCCAGTCATCACAGTCTGGTTTCTTGATATCCTGAAGGAAGGTTCCACCATCTGGCTGGTTCTGCAGCTTCATCAGTTTCTCAGCATGTTCCCTCTCCTCATGAGATTGTTGAAGAAAATATTTGGCAAAGTTCTTCAAAGCCACATCATTGTGGTCAAAGTAGTAAAACACGGACAGGTAGACATAGGGGGCATAGTGCTTCAGGTTGACCTGGCAGTTGACCACGGCCTCCGAGATCTGGTGGTAGTTCAAGAGCACCTGCAAGGGGGATGCCGCCATCCTGGCGGGAGGCTGAAGAGAGGCCAGGGCTGTGCAGCGCTGGAGCCGTGGTGGGGGTCTTGGACGGCTGGAGGGCATGGTGAGGAAGCCACACAGGGCTGGCTCTGAGCAGCCCGCGGGGTGCAGGACAAGTGCCAGTTCGTCCAAGCACTATTGAAGCAGGAAAACGCAGCAACACTTTGGGCAAAGGCTGTCTGAATAGACATTTTTCAAAGAAGATATACAGATGGTCAACAGGTGAATGAAAAGATGCTCCACATCATTAGTCTTCAGGGAAATGCAAATCAAAACCTAGATGAGATGTCACCTCACACTAGTTAGAATGGCTACTCTCCAAAAAATAAGGAGTAACAAGTGTTGATGAGGATGTGCAGAAATGGGAACCCTCACATACTGACTGTGGGAATGTAAATTGATTACTTAAAAAATTAAAATAGAAATACCATATGACCCACTAATTCCACTATATATATATGACCTACTAATTCCACTTCTGGGAATTTACCTTTAAAAAACCCATATCACTAATTCAAAAAGATATACGCACTCCTCTGTTTTTTACAACATTATTTACAATAGCCATGATATGGAAATAACTTGTGTCCATTGATAGATGAATGGATAAAGAAGATGTACATATACACAGTGGAATACTACTCGGCCATGAAAAAAGAATGAAATCTTGCTGTTTGTGACAACATGGATGGACCTAGAGCATATTGTATTATACTAAGTGAATGAACTAAGTCAGGCAGAGAAAAACAAATATCAAGTAATTTCACTTACTGTGGAATCTAAAACCAAAATAAACAAAACAGAAATAGACTTATGTACACATAAGACATTGGTGGTTGCCATGGGCGGGAGGAGTGAAATAGAGGAAATAAAGAGGTACAAAATTCCGATTACAAAATAAATTAGTCATGGTGATGAAAGTACAGCATAGGGACTGTAGTCAATAATATTGTAATATCTTTGTATGTTGACAGATGGTAACTGTATTTATCATGGTACTGAGTAATGTAGATAATTACTGTGCTGAATTATTATGTTGAATCATGATATGTTGTACACCTGAAATCTATATAATATTGTGTATCAACTACACTTCAATAAAAAATCAATAAATCCTCACAACAATCTTCTGAGGTAGGTATTATTACTCCCTTTCATTTTACAGATGAACAAACTGTAGCACAGAGATTTTAAAAAGTTGCCCAAGGTTGTATAGCTAGTTAAGTGGTGGAAGTAGGATTTGATTTTAGGCAGTCTGGCTCCAAGGCCCATGTGCTTAACTACCACACTATACTATTTCTCCTCAATAGTATAGGAAGGCAGATTTCTGAATGTTTTTTTTATATCATTAATGTACAATTACTTGAACAACATTATGGTTACTAGGCCCCATTATCAAGTCCCCACCACATACCCTATTACAGTCACTGTCCATCAGCATAGTAAGATGCTGTAGAATCATGACTTGTCTTCTCTGTACATACTGCCTTTCCCATGTCCCCCCCACTACATTATGTGTGCTAATCGTAATGCCCCATTTTCTCCCTTATTCCTCCCTTCCCACCCACCCTCCTCAGTCCCTTTCCCCTTGTTAGTCCATTTTTGGGTTCTGTAGGTCTGCTGCTGTTCTGTTCCTTCAGTTTTTCCTTTGTTCTTATATTACACAGACGAGTGAAATCATTTGATACTTGTCTTTCTCTGCCTGGTTTATTTCATTGAGCATAATACCCTCTAGCTCCATCCATGTTGATGCAAATGGTAGGATTTGTTTTCTTCTTATGCCTGAATAATACTCCATTGTGTGTATGTACCACATCTTCTTTATCCATTCATTTCCTGATGGACACTTAGGTTGCTTCCATTTCTTGGCTATTGTAAATAGTGCTGCAAAAACATAGGAGAGCATATGTCTTTTTCAAACTGGGCTGCTGCATTCTTAGGGTAAATTCCTAGGAGTGGAATTCCTGGGTCAAATGGTATTTCTATTTTTAGTTTTTTGAGGAACCTCCATACTGCTTTCCACAATGGTTGAACTAGTTTACATTCCCACCAGCAGTGTAGGAGGGTTCCCCTTTCTCCACATCTTTGCCAACATTTGTTGTTGTTTGTCTTTTGGATGTTGGCCATCCTAACTGGTGTGAGGTGATGTCTCATTGTGGTTTTAATTTGAATTTCTCTGATGATTAGGGATGTGGAGCATCTTTTCATGTGCCTGTTGGCCATCTGAATTTCTTCTTTGGAGAAGTGTCTGTTCAGCTCCTCTGCCCATTTTTTAATTGGCTTATTTGCTTTTTGTTCGTTGAGGTGCGTGAGCTTTTTATATAATTTGGATGTCAACCCCTTATCAGATATGTCAGATTCCTGAAGTTTTTATAGGCTATAGACTCACCTGTTGGGCAAAGACCTGGAGCCCTTGATCTGCAGCCACTCTGAGAGGAAGTTTTTCAGCTTAGGAAATGGAGGTGTATGTGGGATCAGAACAGAGAATGGCTGCTGAGGTCAGGATGCTTGTGACAGGGGCTACAGACATTGGAAGGTTAGTAAAGTATTTTCCTTATCCACCTTATTCATTCCATCACCTGGAGAACTCTAGGAAGGGGGTCTGTAGGCTATTGAAAGAACTAGACCAAAGTCATTCCTTTACAGCCTGGAGTGATTGTTTTTTGTTGACCAGGTACTTGGTCAGATCTTTTCTCCACACTTTTCCCTCCCAATGCCTCAACCCAAGTAGAACCCTTGTGTTTCCTGTATGTTCAGATGCATCAAGGCAGACAATGACCCGGGCTGTGGAAGTATCTGCCGTTTTCTTGTTAATTTCACTTTCTCTTGCTCTTCTCCCTCTTTTAGATATTCTCTCTTCCCTCAGATCTTCCTATACCTGATTGAATCTAACAAATGATTCTAAGAACTAGATCTCTTCTAATGGCTGTACATGAAGGTTACCACTTTTAAAAAATTAAAGGGCATATGAGAAGAGCATGGGAAGGAAGACCCAGAATCCACCCATGTAAGTGGAGAAGCAGCTGGGCCCATACCCAGTGAAGTGTACTTAAGCAAGCCTACATGCCGAAAATGTCCTGGGGTGAGGTAGAGTTGCATGCAGAAGGCAAAAGGAATTTGAGTGGAGACTTTTGTGCTCCAAGGGGAGAATGAACCTCCTCTGAGAGAACAGCTATAGTTCTTCCTTCCTTCCTCATATTTTGCTGTGCTCTTCAGTACGGTAGTCACTAGTACATTGGAGCTAGTTTAATTAATAAAAAATAAAAATTCAGTTCTCCAGTCACAGTAGCCACATTTCAGAGCTCTATAGCCACCACACGTGGTTAATGGCTACTGTATTAACACAAATATAAAACACTTCCACCATCACAGAAAGTCCTATTGGACAGGGCTGGATTTGAGGTATTAGGGTATCAGAAAAGGATGTATATGCTCAGGCCCTTTGAGGATCAAATCTCTAAACAGATCTTGGGTATAAGTTATCTACCCTCTCCCCTTTATCCCCTTCTCATATCAAGTTTCAGTAAGCGGGCTGTGTACACAAAAATCAGACTCTCTGTGCTCCACAATCTCTTCACCCCTTTGTCCTGCCCTCTGGCTAGCTCTAGTCCTTGCTCCACCCCTCCAGTCCCTGGAAAACAAGCTGCAGAAAAAACTTTTCCATTAACTTTGACCTAGTTTCCTTGTTATTTGATAAAGGGTGGAGCCATTAAATTCTTGAACAGGTAAGAAAAGGCAGCTGAAAAGTTAAGAATGAAGGTGAGAGTCACCATGGCAGTAGAGCTAGAGACTAACATTGTGGTAAAAAAAGGAAAAAAAACAAAAGCCAGGAAAGAGCAAAAGAGCCACTGTCAATTCAACAAAGAGGGCAGTGGAAAATAATCTTCTCAAATTTCACTTTCTATTCAATTAGTGGAATTGTATGTGGAGGTCCACAGAAAAGCCAACCCCCAAGAGCCAGCACTTGATCAGTCTGCCAAAGCTGTAATAAGCCAGGAACCAGAAAGTGTGTTAACCTCTGCCATCTCAAGGTTTTTCACTCTGAAAGGTGGTCACTCTTTTAGGAATAATAAAAACCATTTTGATTAGCTGCAGAATTGTTATCAATCTGTTGTTACCCTACAAGGAATTAGAAACTGGCAAAGCCTTAATGGAAGAAGGTGGGGTTGAATATTCAGCATTTACTGAGTTGTATTATGTGCCTGGATAGTAAGTGCTAGGAATTGAAGAGGTAACGAAATGGTAGCTGCCTTCAAAGAATACTTGTTAACTAAATGCTTAAGTCATGAACAATTATTTATTGCATATAAACCAGGTTAACACTGGGAAGAAACTCTGTGATGAAACCAAACTAAAATAGGGAACTGTAATCCATTCCTTCCGTATCTCCTCAAACCCTATTTCCCTGTATTTCAACATTAAGTATTCATTTAAGAAGAAAAAAGGTTCATGTACTCCTAAACTGAAGCAATTTAGTAATTTAACTATCGATGTAGAAAATCAACTTACACCACCAGAAGATCGATCCCACTGTAGGTCTTTAGTGAACTGCCAAACACTAAATGGAGCTCACATTCCTTCCCTCTCCACCATTACCACCTTAACTCTGCCTATATTCATTAGGGTCAATAGGGAATATTCTCTCTCTACAGGGTTTTCAAGAATGTGAATCTTAAGTACAGCCAAAGTTCTTTTACGCACACTTTCTACTAACTTCAACACCATCTCACACGTTTTTACATTAAAATTTTTTTATTTTATATTTTTTACAAAGAGTATCTCCACATGGGGTGAAAATATATCTGGTTAGGTACAAAATATAGTTTTTTTATAATACAAAAAGATACACAATTAAAAAACAAAAAAATTAAACAACCATCAGCCAACATACCTTCTCAGAAAAGGGTAGAGGCTCAGTGCTCTGCCACAGGACAGTGAACAAAGTGCTAAGGCTGAAAGTGATTGACCAAGTGGTAGGGGCTGCAGTGAGAGGGCTGTTGACATCCTGTGTCCTAACACTGGGCAGGAAGAGAGCCCAGGGGACTTTCATGAAGACCTGCCCTCTAGATCTCAGTGTTGGGGCATCCTGATCTAGAGTTCCTCCTGGAGTGTGGAGAAGTCACAGTGGGCAAGGCTGATAGCAGCAACCCTCCTCATATAATTAAGTGTAAGAATTACAGAATTCTGTACACTGGAACACAGTCTCAAAAGTAATGAGTAACACTTTTTTTTGTCATTGTGCTTATCCCTAAAGCAAAGTAGATCAGTTTTAGCTTACCTTTGAGATACAAAAGAAACCCCCAAAATTTGACAGGATAAAGTGCTAAGAATATCACCTCAGAATCAATTCCAAGGAGTCACATGAAAAGAGAAACATTCTCCC